ATTTAGACTTAGCATTGGAGAATGGAATTGAAAGGCTAAAACCATGGCTGGAAAACACAATGCAAGGATATGTAAAAGGAGAGTGTCTGCTCCTTTGTCTGGTTAAGGACATTTTCCAATGCAACAAAGAGATAACAAGAAAGGGAGGAAATGACAGGAACCAAAACCTGGTCAGTTGTGCTAATTGATAAGGAAAGAGATGGTTTGTGGGAATGCTGATTCAAACATGGTTGTCCAAATGAGGATTTCTGGATTGGGATGATAAGAAGTAAAGGGGGAATAATACGCAAAATGCAGACACAGACCTGACAAAGCAGAAATGGAGACAATGATAAGAAACAAACCTTCCAGTCACACTGATTGATGGGCTATCAAACTACAAGCAATGCTTCCAGAAAGATCAGCATGGACTTTGCAGCCAAGACTGTGAACCAGGAGGGTCCCCAGACTCAGAGGATGCAGAAATTACAGAGCTCTGTAAATCTGTGGGAGTGTGCAAGAGTAACACAGGGGTGGGATAGGTAGAAAAGAGTATAAAAGGCTGTATATAATTAGGCCAGTCAGTATGCTTGTCTGGCTGAGCCTTGTGCCTAATGACTGCTGGTCACTGTCGTATCTTCTTACATATTTTCTTATTAAGTCTTTTCTTAAGTCTCTATCTGTTTATTCACTTTCTCTCCTGTGTGTATGTGTGCTGCAAGGATTATGTGTAAGCTACTGACAAGACCTGTGTGTGTGCAAGTGAAAATGGTGTCAACTAATGGAGTCAGGCCAGGGGTGTAGGCCTGCAGACTGTGATGCCAGCTACTGGATCAAGTGGGGTCTTCCACTCCTACACACTGGGGTGGGAGTGTTGCATGCTCACAAAAAAACTTCTGAGGGGGAATGGTGTGCCTGTGGGCCTGTAAGTGCTTGTGTGTGTGATTTGAAAGGATTAAATACCGGCTACTGGCGCGTGGGTAGTGTGTGTGAATTTAGTGCTTGCTACTGGAGTTAGGCTGGGAGTGTAGTCTGCCATAGAATGTGGTGCCAGCTACTGGGGTGAGTGTCTTACCTCCAGTAGTTGAGAGGGCCATAGCTATCTGTGTCAAAGAACTCCTAGGGACTTTGTGCCCAGAGTGCCAGCTCATGGGGGACCATCAGGAGCAGACTGGGTGCAGTTACTGAACTCAGCTGGGGGTGTAGGCCCCATAGACTGTAGTGCCAGCTACTGGAGCAAGTGAGAGTCCTAGCATCAGTTGCTGGAGAGTCCTCTCTCAACCTAGGGAGGGCTCCACACACCTTGAGCCCAGAATGGCAGCTACTTTGGGAAAGGTGTGAGTGAACTCGTTGCCAGCTGTCAGAGACAGAATGGGGGTGTAGGGTTTACAGTTGGCCGCTGGAGCAGGGCTGTCGCTCACAGCCCGTGTACCTGGTGCCGCCTGCTGGGGAGGTCGAGTGTCTGTATCTTCCCCAACCGTGTGTGTGTATTTGCTAGCAAATGTTAAGCTGAGCTAGCTGACAATTAGCAGAGTCCTTGGGACCGGTCCAGGCTATCAGGTGGGCGGGGGGGGGGGGGGTTGTGCTAGTACACTCGGGTTGAGCCTGAAAAAGGGAAAGAGGCATCTGTGCCCACTCCCAGTATGGGCAGAGACCATCGGTACCCAGGCATCTGGCTGGGCAGGAGCAGCTGGGCAGCAGTCCTGGGCTGGAGTGACTGGAGGAGGCAGCTACAATCTTTACCTCACTTAACAGACAATAATATCAGACGTGAATTTCTTCTTAATACTGCAATATTATGGCAGAGGACCAATAACACAATTTATGTCAACTGCTGCTGTTTTAATTAAATCAATGAAGACTATATATTTCTGACATGTCAGTGAGTAATGCCAGAAGAACTGAGGTTTTGCTAACAAACAAACAAAGTAGAAGAGAGAAGTGAATCTGAATAAGTATACACACAAATAAATGTGAGCTGGACTCCTGAATGTTGGCCTCATTTCCAAACAAGAAACATACCACTAGTTCAATATTAGGTTTGTTTTTTAATGCATCACTGAGGCTGTGCCTACTGCCTCTGAGTTGGGAAGCAAGGCCAGCACTAAATTAAGACCCCTTTCTGATTTGCTGCATGGTCCCTTCAGGACTGAAAGACTTTTTATTAGACTGTTTTTGCAATAAGAAGAAGTTAGAAACTGATCCAACTAAATCTTTAAGCACAAGCTTTATTTCTAACACCTGAGCATTGCTTCTTGGAAGTGATACTCATATAAGTAAAGATAAGCATCTTTTTAAGGATTTTTGTGAGTTGAGGTCTCAGGACCCAGACTGTCTGTGTTGAGTGTTTTTTAACTTACCTCTAGGAATATTTCTTTCCACAGATGAGGATCCCTCTCCTGGAGAGGGGATAGCCTGAATTCTCCTTTTCACTGCTTCTATTGAACTCATTGAGTTGAGACTCCATAATAAATTTTGCTTCCATTTTCCATGACTCAGATTGGACTGGTCCTCAGTTGCCGTATACTTTTCTTTGGCCACATTCACATGAATTGTTAGAGTGTAGACCATCCCCTTGTCAAATATGCTATACATGTGTGTATGTCCCAGCATATATTGGTGCATGGAGTTGTTCCTTCCCAGGTGCAGGACTTTGAGATTCCTTTTGTTAAATTTCATGAAGGTCCTGTCAGCCCATTTCTCCAGTTTATACAGGTTCTTCTGGATGGCAGCATGACCCTTTAGCATACCAGCCAGTTCTCCCAGTTTTGTGTTACCTGCAAACTTGCTGAGGGTGCACTCTGCCCCATTGTCCAGATCACTAATGAAGGTGTCAGATAGGACTGGACTCAGTCCTATCTATACCATGGTGTATACTGCTAGTTACTAGCCTCCAAGTGGGCTTTGCACCACTGATTACCACCCTTGGGGCCTAACCATTCAACAAGCTTTCAACGCATCTCACTGTTTGCCCATCAAGCACATACTTGAACAGTATCTTATGGGGGACAATGTCAAAAACCTTACTAAAGTCCAGGCAGACAATACCCATGGCTCTCCCTTCATGTGCAAGGCCATTAGTTTCATAATAGAAGTTAATCATGATGATCAAGCGTGACTTCTTCTTGGTGAATCCATGCTGACTAGTCCTTATGATTTTCTTGTTTTTCATGTGCCTGCCATGTATAAATATGTACCTGTTTTTTCCATCTTTCCTTACAAAATACTTTTTCCATTTTTCCTTACAAAATATTTCCCATAATCTAGAAACTTTTTCTTTTTAAAATTTTTGTCTTGAAAAATATATTTTAAAATAATGCTCTAATACACATGAATTAAATTACAGTTTATGAGTCCGTCTCTGATGTGACTTCCAATGGCCTTTTAAAGTTGTTATCTCACTACCCTTTGCTAAAATAAGCTAAAATAATTATCTCCTTCTTTCCTGTAGACTGAAACTAAACTTGTTCAATTCCATATGCCAAACATTTCTCTTCAAAATTCTTTCTGACTTTGGAAATCTCTCTATGTTTGGTAACCTCTAGACATACAACCACATATAGACAATCTGTAGTTGCAAGTAACCTAGCAGCCTATGTCCTGCCACTGCTGCCATCTCTAGCTCTGTCCAAGAGATGTTGCAGGCTCTGAGAACATTGCCTTCCTCTGGGGGGAATGTTGTCCGCTGCTGATTACTGCCATGTGTATACCATGGTTATATAAGAGTGAAAAACCTTACTGTCACCAACTTTCTATTTGTTCTCACTTCAGGAAAAATCTGTGAGATAATATATACGGTCCACTGAGAGACAGGGTTTAGAAATGTTCCTTTCTACAAGTTCAGCAAGAACTAAAATTCTCCAAAGTGTCTTCTCTTGCAACAGTAGGTCCTGGGCACAACAATTGTTAGAGAAAATTTGGAAGATAAAGCAATGAAAATCATCTTTGGTGCTCATCTGAATCCAAAGGCATGAAGGATTTAGTTAACAACTGCGCTTTACTGATTGGCATTTCTATAAATTTGTTAATGTTTTAAAAAGTCTCTTGACCAGCTTATTAGGAGAGTTGTTGGGATCATAATCTACCAGTGTAAAATGAAAAGCTGTAAAAGCATTTGCAAAAATATTTTAATTATGTGTCATATCTTCCATCTCTTCCTTTTCAGGTTAGCTTGTGCCTGTTTTTGTTGGCAATCCAATAGTGTAAATCACATCTCATGAAGTGGATTATTCCACCACTCTGAAACCCCAAACTGTTGAAACATCAAAACGGATTAATTCTAGCAGCCAAGAGCAAAGTGTCGTCATTTTTTTCAAGGCAGAAACACACAACACCTACACTACCCAAGACCTATTTCCTTCACCCAGGTAATTCTTCCCTATGAGAACTGGAAATGTTATCACTGCACAAATTACAACAGGGTCTTGTAGGTGCCCCTCAGACCATTTCTGTGTCAGAGCATACCCGAGTCTCTCCACTGAAGCAGCACTTTCTGTGCCAAATGGGCTTGGAGCCCACACTGAGCTCTTTAGTCAGTCTGGCTACTGCACAGCCCCAGACCAAACAGTCCAAGTCTACATTGTCTGCCAGATCTATTTACACATTAAAATGTAATGCTTGTCTATCAGTTTCATCATACAGTTGTGGAGTCTTTGGGGTACACCAAGAAAAGATCACTGCTGGAGTAAGCTTGTGACGCTCTCAGCAACACCAGTAACATACTGGGGTCAAAAACCATATGAAAACACCTTAATGTGTTTTCTTCTTTTTCTTTTGACTTTTAATTGCAGATATGTAAGCTTCCCGTGCTTCACTTTTTGTGTGCTTGCTGTTTGTTGACAGGGGGCAGAAGAAGCCATGACTCCCAGGATCAGAAGATAACCAGCAGTCTGGAAAGTAGGCAGGGATGTGAAAATGGAGGCCCGGGAACGACAGTAAGTGTCTCCCACAGGGCACCACCCTAATGCAGTAAGGCATTTTGCTGGGTATGGTAGTGACCTGTCAGGATATTTTAACAGTACACAGCAATGACATTCAGTCTTGAACTTTACTGCTTCACACAAAAATTTGACCAAGAAATTTGACTCAAATATGGGATCCCCTTGACTTTTGAAGGGATTCAGACTTGGGGTTTTGGAAAAGCCCAAGTGGAAGATTCAAATCCAGCTTTGCATTCCTGCATGCCCAGTCTTTGGATGCAGTAACATCTATTTTCAGTTCAAGCAAGATATGTGGTATTTGTGGATACTCCACTCTGAGACACATTTGGGAAGGAACCTTTCAATGTGAATAAGGAACCCTGTTTTTCCATTTCAGTATTGAAGATGGAACAAGCCTATTTATTATCTTTATTACATGCTGTATTTATAAATTTTTGAAAGCAGTGGGAATATATTTGCATTTTGGAGAAAGTCTTCCAGAAAAGAATTTTTTGGAACACGGCTAAATGATGTGAGAAGTTTTTACAGAGGCCAAGAGGCCCTTCTTTTTGTTCATGTGAATATTCAGTAGTAGAAACATTCCCTGTTAAGCTAAATGAACTTTCAGTAAACTAAGGAAACAACATAAGCAAGAGAATGAAAATCTTGCAGTCATCTGAAATCTACAAAGGTACACAAAATGTTTATTTTACTTATAAAAAGCACACCCTTTGGCTGAGAAATGTCTACAAGCATCTGTGTGTGTAAAGCATCTTAATGAACAGAGCAAAAGCAAATTCTGTATTTTTGAGACTGCTTTTGCTGAACACTGTAAACGTGAGATGGTTCTGTAGTATTTCCTTTTTGATTGGAAAAGGCACCACAAGATGGCACTTTCTGAAGAGAATATATTTAAATATATTTAATAATTAAATGAACAAAGAATCATCATTTTATAAAGGTCTGTTATTGAACATATGGTGGGTAGGAATGGAAAATGCAACAGAGACCAAGTAATAACATGGGAAAACATAGTGTAATCTTTGGCATTTAGAGATATGCAATCCATGAGTGCAAAACATTTATAAACATGGTTAGCTTTGTGACTAATCCAGTGAATATACTGACATGTATACATTACATACTTGTAACCAAAGTCATGCCTTAAAATCTATTTTTGGCATCTACTTAGCAGATTTGGGCATAAGCTACTGAGCCACCACAAACTATGCTGAAGACAATGATAGCTGCAAAATACAAATACATCCCGGTTCCTTTAAATAGGAGATCAAAATTGAAGTTTATTGAATGAATATGGATTAAAATTTTAAAAATATGAAAATTCTGAGGATACATTATATCTTGACTGGCTAGGATGTTTAAATGAGAATAAAGATTTTCCAAGCTACAGCAAATTTTCTCTCTGAATAATGTATCTCTATGTGCATGCAAACATACACATACACCTCATACTTTGTATGCACACAGTGTTAATATGTACTCAAATACACACTTCTCCTTCAAAGGCATTTATTTTTCCACCTTTTTATCTTTGAATGACTGTTAGTAGTATTCATGACTCAAGTTATGTTTTAAAAATACTGTGACTTTTATTTTAAAGTAGTACTTGTAAACTAATCACTTTCCCTAGCAAAACGTCTTACCAAGAGAATTATATGTGCTAGATGTGCCTTAATTCATTACAATTTAAATTCACTAACTTCAGCATTAGGTGATCCATAAGAATTTACTTCATTTCATGTATTCTGATTGAAAATACCTACTTTGTTGTTGTTTTTGTTTTTAGTTCTTATATACAGACTGAATACAAAATGTCCAAAGTCTGTTTTCATTCACATAATGTGTATGTACTGGCTTTCTTCAGGGAAAGTAGAGGGAAAGTCTCCTGCCTCTATGTAACAGAACAGAGAGGGTTTTGGCAGCAGGAAGAGGCAGTGGCCAATAGGTCAAAACTGCATGGCACTCATTTGCATGGGAAGCTCTGTTGGGGTGAAAGTAAAGACATCTGCATTTCCCAAATGCTGCTGGCCACAGGCTGCTGAGCCTTCTGATGCCTCTTCAGCAAAACAGGTTTGAATAACCACTTTATCTTTAGGCCCCTGAGGTGGGGTGTCAAAGCAAATCTGATGTTACACTGCTCCAATTCTAAACACTGTCCAGGGGAGCAGGAATGAGTGAGAATGAAGTGTGGTCTGTGCAAGCTGGTTTTCAAGCCAAAGGGAGATAAGGAGATTTTTAAGAAATGTAGCTGTCAATAGACTGTTTCAGTGTCTTTGGTTATGGATTCTTTTTTTTTTTTTTTTTTTGCTTTAGAGCTCCCTGTGTCTTCTCATAAGTATGAACAGGATAGCTGGTTTCCTGTTGGCATTGATGTCTTCTTTTTCTATTTGGAAAACATTTTACTGTGTTACTGATGGAGCAAAAATCGGCTTTTTTTTTTTTTTTTTCCAGATATTTACCAGTATGGTTGTTAGCTTGTCTCATGCCAGCAATGGTGGTAATATATCTGTCTCCGGAGAAGGAACGGTTTGTTCATTTAGACTTCCTCTTTTTACTGTGTGCTCCCACAGAAATAAAACAAATGGTTTGCAATGCTACATCTTAAATAATTGACTTCTGGCGATCTGCTGCAAGAACCAATACAATGCACTTGAGTACCTCAGTGTAAACCAATTAAAAGACCTTTTAATTAGGTCATTGAATCAAAGTACAGCAGAGAAGTGGTTAAAATTGCTTGCTATTCTTTCCAGTTCCATGTGCAGACTTCTAGTGCAGAGCATTTCAGTATAATAACCCTCTATGAAATTTATGCTTATAACCCTCTATGAAATTTAGACATTACAGGACATCCCTTACATGTTATAAAAGATTTGAAACACTTTGATATCAGAAGCTGAAAATTGCTTGCTCGAAATTGTTTAAGTAAATATCCCAGTTCTTAGCATGTCCACTTGCTATTAGATCCTGTCATAACATCCAATTGCTTCACAGAACATTTTTCTGGCAAATACTCTCTTTTAATATTATGGTAAGAAAAGAACAATAACAGCTCAACTGAAAGCAGATTTTCTGAAAATTAGATATTAAACTACATTGCCACTATCTGCAGTGTGAGTCTTTTTCCCATATACTATAGTTGTACATCTCTGTAAGACTATACAGATAAATAAGATAAATCAATATTGTGTCTTTTAAAATATATTTTTAGATCAAAATGTGAAGCATGAGACTTAAATGTTGTTCATTTGCCAAACAATTGAAACGACAGCTGGCAAATTCTTCCATATGATTAACAGAAGTCTTATTCGCACATACAGAATTTGATTCCTGATAATGTCATAAATGATGTTTGCATTTGTGTTAAACATAATAGACAAAAATGCTGTACACTCATTAACAACATTAACAGAGGCAGGGATAAACAGAGAAATAGATGAAGGGAAGAGCCACAACTTTGCAAAACAAAACATGGAAGAAAGAAGTTTAACCTGAGGTTCCTATCAGTCACACTGACCACTTCACAAATTTCTAAGTTATTGCAGCCCATAAAAATGGATTGATTCACTTTCTAGGTAAGTCAGTGATATATGAGCTCACTAAACACAATGTCCTTATAATAGCCATTAATCTTTGTGGAAAAAAATACTGCATGTGCTCTGGAATGTGCTGCATCCATTCTCCTCCGAAACCTCATCTTTGTTCCTAGTAATTACCATCTGTTTCTAATTTCTAACAGTCTGTGTCAGTGGCAAAGTCTATTCTAGCTTCTGTGCACAATATGAGCTAAGATGGTTAATATATCTTCATATAGTAAGGCATATTGCAACCAATACATAAAATTCAGCTTGTAAAGCAGAATATAATGCACTTCTGCTGGTGCCAGTTTAAACAAAAGTAGGAACTGGAGACCGTTTACAGATCTTGCTTTGAACAGCCCATACATTCTGCTTTCATGTATGCCAAGATTACAAAAAGTCCTCACAGAACTCAACTTGTTGTAAGAAAACAAAACAAAACAAAACAAAACAAAACAACAACAACAATAACAACAACAACAACAACAACAAAGAAGCATATATTTTCTTTTTTATCAACACATTTTTCCAATACATGCAATTAGTTAATGCAAATAATATCCTAGAGTAAAGGAGTCGTTATATTTCACTTTCTGATCTTTGGTATTAGAACAAAACTGGGCGCCCTATGAACCTCTGTTCTAACATAAATCAGATGGTTAAAGGATCACACTGTAGCAGTTTTGAGATAGGAGCTTTTTGTTCCCTGGCTGTGATTTAAACTCTTGCAAAGACTGCAGACTTGCAAAGATTTTTTGAAAGCCTAGAATAGCTTGACCAGCAGGTGGCTTTTACCCCAGGTTTCCTTGAGTTTCAAGAGGGTTTACTTAGCTTGTTTTTTTTTAACAAAAAAACAGTAAAGAAAATCTACATAAACTGTCCTACTTGACATCAACTTAAAAGTAGCAAATTCGTTACTCACTGACTACTGAGCAACTGACATCAGCTACTGAGAAACAGACATCATCTATCTGATTTGTACAAAACATTTGATATTGTCTCACACAACATCCTTGTCTTTAAAATGGAGAGAGACAGATTTGATGAATGGATGGGTAAAAAATTGCCTGGATGGTTGCACTCAAAGAGTCACCGTCAATGGCTCAATATCCAGGTGGAGATCTGTGATGACTGGTGTGCCTCAGGGCTTAGTACCGGAACCACCAGCGCTGTTTAACATATCTGTCAGTGACATGAACAGTGGGGTGGATCTGTCTGAGTGTATCCAGAGGAGAGCCACAAAAATGATCAGAGGACTGGAGCACCTCTCTGGGTTGAGGGAGCTGGGGTTGTTCAGCCTGGAGAAGAGAAGGCTCCAGGGAAACCTTATAGCAGCCTTCCACTGCTTAAAGGGAGCCTACCAGAAAAGTTGGAGAGAGACTCTTGATTAAGGAGTGTAGTGATGGGACAAGGAGTAACAGTCTTAAACTGAAAGAAGGTAGATTTAGATTAGATATTAGGAAGAACATTATTATAGGAAGAACATTAATATTAGGAAGAACATTTTTACTATGATAGTGGTGAAGCACTGGAACAGGTTGCCCAGAGAAGCTGTCCCCATCCCTTGAAGTGTCCAAGGTCAGACTGGATGGGGCTTTGAGCAACCTGGTCTGGTGGGAGATGTTCCTGCTTATGGTAGGGAGTTGGGGCTAGGTCATCTTTAAGGCTCCTTCCAACTGAACCATTGTATGATTTGTATCATACATTGTATGACATATTGGGTCAAGCTTTGAGGAAAACATTAAAACCCTCAAAGAGATACTTTGGTTCACTGTAGATTCAATTCAACATTTGAAGAGTTCAAACAGTGGTTTTGGGGGAGTATGTGGAAGGATTTTCTCCCTTGAAGACAGCTAGCCAATACTTAAAAAAAAAAAAAAAAAAAAAAAAAAAGTACTTCCTCTAGCCAATCAGCCAAGAACTTTTGTCACTCTGGCATGTCATATAATTCTGGGACCTTATCCAAAACCCACTGAAATAAATGGAAACAATCTAATGGTGAATTTCCCTGTTGGCTCTGTCAAGCATGTCTAGTCCAGGTATCTCATGACGTCTACAATCTCTACTTCACAAACACTAATAGTGGAAAAAGAAGAAAAAAAAAAAAAAAAAAGACGGGACCGTGTCATAGCCTTCAGTTGACAAGATTATATTTGTTCTTAGGTAAATTGATTTTATACAGGCCTAGAATGGGCACAGCTGCCCCATTTAGATGTGCTTACTCTTCCCCACCCCTGAATGCACTTTTGCCTCCCATGAAGAAAAGAGCTCCAGGGCCTTCTGCAGAATCCTCTCATTTGGCAGTACTTTCCAAAGTTCAGGAGCACTGAAATATTTCTCTTTGGATCAGGGCAGCGATGAGTAGAATGGATAATATGCATGGGTTTGGAGGTAGCAGGTATTTGCCAGCTCACATATTTCACTTATTTGTCTCAGCTTGACTATGAGAGTATTTGCTTAACTTGATGCCAAAGTATTGGCTTATCTTGGCTTTTCTTCATATCAGGATCCATATAACATACCTGGAGAAATACAGCTGTAGATAAAAGAGTTGTTTGTTTTGTCCTTTTAATTACTTACTACAAATACATCAAGAGATTAAATACTGTGGAAGGGGAAGGATTGTCTAAGTTAAAGAACAATGTTGGCAGAAGAGCTATCATACATGAACCAGCCAGGAACTTGGTCTGGAAACCATAATAATTCAAATAATCAAAGCAATGTTATTCTGTAATTACTTTCCTGGGGCTGTAGTATGGACTAGAAATTTAACTGATTTTAAGATAAATTTATGAACAGGATTAGATGAAGTGGTTTCTGAAGTAGCAGAAGACTTGAACCAATGACACAAGAAGTACTTTCCAGTGCTGTATCATAAGATCATAAATTAAACTACTGCTGTACTACTTTTCTTCTTCAAGTAGTAGCGTGGAGCAAGAAATTAATTTCATGTCTCTGTAGTCAATTCTGTATTATCCAATATGTTATGAGATTGAGTTATCCTGGGTAATGGAAGTGGAACATGCTGGCCAGGCCAGATTAAGGCTGAATCTGGCAGAAACTTCTGCACTGATCTTCCTCCTTCCATATCCCGAACAAATAAATTGTGACAGACCAGAGCTGCACCCTGGAGCTTTTGGCTATTGCTGTTGGGCTCCTGAATGTTCCAGGTTGCAGGGAAACTTAAGATGGGCAAAACAGTTTGTGGAACCATGACCTGAGCAAATGCACTACCATGCCTGAAAATGCTTGGGAGCTTGATACAAAGACCTAGCCAGCTCAACAGGACTCAGCTTCAGACTGACAAAGCTTCTTAGCTTTGGTTTAATGCCAGCTATGGCAGTGCCTCCTAACTCAACAAACAGCAACCCACCTGTGCTTGTGTTTCCCTCTCCCTTTATGCTGCAGAAGTAGCTTTTGGCCTGAATTGGGTCTGGACCTGACCTAGCTGTATGCAGGTCATTGGAAGTAAAAAACTCTCTTTTAACACAGGCTGTTGCAAAAAGAGTGCACATACCCAAATGTGGTCCTTCAGGGGCTAGAAAACACCTGTGTCCTCTTCTGACTTTTCTGGTGTCCAGTGGAAAATGTTGGGAATAGATTGTTTCATTACATGAAGAGAATAATATCACTCCTACAGTTGTGATTATATTGATGCTACAAAAGACATGCATATATTACACACTACACTGTACAAACAATTCTAAAGCTGATAAACACTCAACACCTAAGGAACGCCTTCTACTGGCCCTGACCAGTGACAGGGTTTTTGTTTCTCTGCTTCAAATTGTTATTTTATTTTGATCCTCTTTCACCCTTAACTATCATGCCTCATTCAATACACAAGATGGATGGAGGGATGGATGCAAAGATAGGAGATGTATAACCATGAACAAGCATCGCATCCTTTTTTTTTTTTTAACTTTCTGAGCAAAGACTGGGGGGAGGCTA